AGAGTGTGAAGAGTTCTCCTTCTTTAAGGAACAGAGCGGCAGAAACAACGTGTGATGAACTGACCTGCAGCCTCCCATACTCTGTCCGCCTGCGCTGCTGGGGAGGAGGTGGAGGTGGGAAGAAAGGAAAGGCGGGAGGGGGAGGTGTTGTTTTTAAGATCTGGCTGTGTTTCTTGTTTTTCTCTCAATTAACTGTTAATAAACTGAATTGATTTGTCCCCAAGTCAAGTCTGTTTTGCTCGGGACCTAGGTTGGTGGGTGCACCCCCTCTATTCTTGTCTCACCCTCAGGCCTTTTGATACATTTTTCTCCTCTCCACCGCACTGAGGGGAGGAGTGAGCGAGCGGCTGAGTGGTGGCTGAGCTGCTGCTGGGCTGAACCACGGCAAAGGGTAAAAGTACCGTGCTTTTGTTTTAATAAAATGCCATGTGTGTTCCAGTTATAAAGTGAGAGAGCATACAAGTCCTGAAAACCCAACACACTTCCCGCAGGGACAGTGAGCTGAAAACACCAGCCACAGAACAGTGAGATGCTGTATGGTCCCAAAACTCCCTGTAACAGCGGGGTGAGGAAAAGTATTTTGAACAACGAGGTGAGTGACAGCAATTAAAGCTGGCAGCAGCAGAACCTTCAAAATATTCTCCTGCGGCACAGCGTAATTTTTCATGAGCAACTCCTTTCTCCACATGATGCCATCAGCACACAAACATTCAGCTGTGAAAATCCGGCAGAGAAGTTAACGTTTTTCAGGAACAGCTGCTGAGAGCAGCAATGGTAGAGCACAGAGCACAAGATCTGACACGAGCTTCAGATGAACAATTATACAAATGCATAAGCTCTCCTCCCAGTAATCACCTCTCTTCTTTACAGAAAGGGCTTTTGGGGAGCTTGAAAAGAGAAGAACTTGGCTCCCTGGTCTTCATAGCCAACCTGGGACCCTCCTGTTGCCACAGAGAAAAAGAAAGAAGGATCCTTCTGCCTTGCAAAGTGTAAAGAAATATGCGTGAACCCAAGAACCCCTCTGCTCCTCAATAAAGCCAAATGTGTTCTGGAATTAAACTTTTTGCTGCTATCAGAGAGCTTTTTCTAGGTGCACATATGGCCATCACCAGACTGCAAGGGCTTAGGCACAGGCACCAGGAGAGCCCTTAGGCTACGAGACAGGCTTGAGACAAAGACCTTGAACTATTGTAGTAAAATCAGTACAGCTGATTGCCCCACTCTGGAATTTTCTGTGCACACGATTAAAACACAAAAGTGAATCATACAGGTGAAGGTGTAGAGCTACACAGGTTTGATCAGAAGAGGAAACAAGTAGACGGTGCTGGTCATCTCTGGGTTGTCTTCATCATTGCTCTGTTCCCGCCACTCAAGGGATCACAGGAATGTCATGACTGTTCTGTTCTTGCCGATCTGCCAGGGTTCCATTGGGTAAAAGCGGATGAGAATCCTTTTTGGGTAGAAAAGCAAAAATGCAGTGGACAGGAAACATTATTATTTTACGATTACATACTATCCCTGCCCAGTTTGCAACAAGGTAAAAAATCGTCACTAAGCTCTCGCTGGCTCACACTTCACAGCATTAATTTAACAGAAGCAAAATAAGCTGTGTACGGGCAGGGGACAAACAAGTGCCAGACTCCATCCACACAAACCCAAAAGCAGACTCAATTTCAACGCTGTTTCTGTGAGATACTTGTCCATTTCAGAAGGACACAAGCAGCCCATCGTCTTGTCAGGTGTTTACCCGACAGCACCCAAGAGGCAGGGAAATGCTACTGCTCTCCTTGTGCAGCCAAGAAGGAGGTGCAGAGAGGGACATGGCTTACCTTCAGGAACGGCCTTGTTCCAGCATTTACCATGGTGACCCCACTGCAAAGCTCTACCAGTGCACACTGGGGTTTGCACCAATTACACCGACTGGAACTATGTGTCTGGGATTCAGCATCCAAGAGCACTTAACGTTTGTGATGAGGTCTCGGACTTTTATGACACCTTAATCTCCTGGAGGACATGGGAACCTACATCATCATCATCCCTTTGAACACCTTCCTGTACTTTTGCTTGCTGTGTTTCACACACCACATGAGCCCAACAGAAGAGGTGCCCCCGCT